ACGAGGAGGACGACGAGGATAGCGAGGACGACGAGGAGGAGTCGTCGAGATGGGGGAGGAGAAGAGATGGACGGAGGGAAAAGAGGAACGGCAGGAGGAGGAGGACAAGTGGGAGGAGGAGGAGACATGGACGACGAGGAAGGGGAGGACACATGGAAAGGGAGGACACGAGGAAGGGAAGGAGACGAGGAGGCATGGAAGATGAGGAAGTACGACGAGGAGGAGACAAGGAGGATGAGGAAGGGCAGGAGGAGGAGGACGAACAAGAGGAGGAGGAGGAGGAGACGAAAAGGAGAAGGGAGGAGGAGACATGGAGGATGATGAAGGGGAGGAGGAGCAAGGTGAGGCAGTACTCCTGTAATTTTTTTTTTCATCTCGATTATAATTTTGGTGGGGGGCCTCAAACGCACCGTTTCGACCACGGCCTTTTTTTTGTTTCTGAGGGGGGTGATGGGTCGTTCTCCGCACACGTCGTGCGCCGCACGGGATCGGTTAGGCGCTTGCGCCGCACATAGGGAACCGCCTGCACGACGTGCGCTTGCATGTATGTATGCATGTATGAACTCATCCCACATCAAGTGCTTCATCCACCCGGGGTGCTTCCCATTCACTGCACTTCTCCCACCAGATGTGCCAATAGAAGGCAGACTCGCAATGAAGTGTGCGCTCACAACTTACAATGAGATGACACACAAGTAAAACGGTCTTCCTCACGGTAAGGAGAATAGTGGAGGATAGATAAGGTTAGGGATACTTGATGGTGCACCCAACCACAGATGATCTCACCAACTGTTTGATGCCCCGTTTAATGACTGGTCATACTCAGGAACCACCCACAATCCAATGCCAGTACCGCCTTAAGCAACTGCAAGGCCAATATGCTGTCACTGCAATGTCTAGTTCCTTGTTACTTCCTCTCATGCACTCAACTGCTCTGCGCATGAGTTCTTCACCAGCTGCCGAGAAAGTTAGCAACACTGCGGGCCACGTCAATCCACCAGCGCCATAAGACGAGACTTGCAAACGTGAGCTGTGCTGGTTGGAGATCTGCTCGGATACCAAAATTCAAGGAACTGCTAAATGAGAACACACACAAAGAAAATGAACACAAAATCCCTTGAAGCAGAAGACTCATAACCGAACAAGCATGTGTGAATTGAGGCGAAAGCAGAATCACAAAAGCCGGGAGCACAAGAATGAGAACACTCTGAACACTGAAGTCACTTGACAAAGAAAGCCCCACTTCTCGCCTCGAATAATCAATACAACAAGAATGTAGTAGCCCGTCTGTGATGTGTCTGCCTATACTAATCTCCCACTTTCTGTACACACACTAGGCTACTCTTCCTCACGCTCTCTGTTTACAACCCTCTCACCAGATGATGCTGAAGAGCCTGACCACTCTAGTGCTCCTTGGCCACCACCAGTTAAGTGCCGCCAGTCCCCACTTCTGTCCCTTCTTCCAATCATCGCAACCCATTGCCACCACCTCTGTCTGCATAGTGCTGCCAGCCATGGCAGCCGCTGGAATGCAATAAATGCCTCTGGCTGCAACGGGGAGCGTGAAGGGGAGTAATATTGTATTACGTTCTGACTTGCCAGTGGAATAGGAACCGGACTGATGCTCCACAGAACAGAATTGAGCCAGGGAAAAAAAAAAAAAACCCTGCTTCATAAACCTGGAAAAGTCCGAAAAACAGTAGTCTGAAGGTCTCAAAAGATGTGAACGTTGCAAACTGAGAAAGAGAACCAAAAATTGTAAATTCCAGATTACATGGAAAAAAAAGAAAAAAAAATAGAACTTAAAATTTTCTGTTTCTGCAGCAAGCATGGCGACAGCGCTTGCTGCAAAGATCTTCAGCAAAGGAGGCAAGGGCCTGAAGAAGTCTCTGAAGGCAATCGGGGAAGACACAGGGGAACCCTTGCTTAGCCAGGAACCCTTGCAACTCCCTACCCTCTCCTCCTAAACCAACTAAAACTGATACATCTCTAACCTGTCCAAATGCTTGAGGATAGAGGGGCTCCAGAAACCAGAACACCCAAAGCTCCAAGGGCCAACAACAAGGGCAGGGGGGAGTTGGAAATCAGATCATGGAACGTAAGAGGACTAGCAACCATCCTATCGACATCTTGCAAGTGGCACAGTTTCGTGGACATGACTGGATGGCTCGATAACCAACCTCGTGACATCCTCTGCATCCAAGAAACACACCTGACTCCTACTGCAGAACACCAAAACATCCTCAAGGAAATCCTAAGAAGGCTAAGGCACATCAAGCACGCGGTATGGGCAACTAGCCCCAGCGCTGGTTCAGCAGGAGTATGAACAATAGTGCATGAAAAGTCGAACGCCGCTCAATTCCTACAAATAGACGGTATCACAAAGGATGAACAGGAAGGTAGGTGGACAAGAATTGACTTCTCATACAGAGGAGAGGAGTTACCCTTAATCAACACATACGCACCAAATCAAAACTCACAAAGAAGGACCTATCTAGAATTAATAAAGCAGGAGTTTCCTAACCATAGACACCTGATCCTAGCTGGGGACTGGAACGCTACTCTAGAACCAACCATAGACAGAATCTCCCACGCCAAAGATACTTCAGACAAATCGGAAGCCCAGGTAATGTTGGAATTCCTAACAGAAAAAAACCTAAAAGATCCATATAGAATGCTTACTCCGACGACAAAGGACTTCACTTGCATCCGGAAATCAACCCAAGGCAGAACCTCCTTCTCAAGAATAGACTACTTCCAAAACAAGTCACCTGGGAAGAGAAAACACCCCCCCAAAATGGATAGTCTTTAGACCAGATGAAGACATCAGAGAACTGGAAATAGACCCAACAGAATGGGGATGGTATGTTAAACAGGGTGGTGGCAGAGCTAGAAAGTTAATTAGTTTACAAGACTACACAGTCAAGACAGGGTATAAGATAAGAAACAAGACAGTCAATCCGTGCACAACCATCTCAAAAAGATGGATCAAACACCTAGGGGAAGATCACGGATGGCCTACGCAAATTCCCTGGGACTACTATAGCGACATCAGGCCCACAAGATTCAGAAGCCTACAATGGCTGATACTATACTGTGCGGTGCCGGTCAATGAGTGGCTAGATAAACGTAGGAAGGACGAGCACAGAACAGAACTGTTGGCACTCTGCAAAATGTGCGATCAAAACACACTTGAACACTGCCTGGTCGAATGCCACCACGCGGACACTTTATGGCAACCGGTCAGGACAGCTTGTGTCAACATCTCCGCAAATCAGTACCTGCTACAAGCTGACTACCTCCTTTCCGGAAGAGAGGGCAACACAAACCTAGAAGAAGAGGGAAGAAGTTCAAAGAACCATAGCAGACCTGATGAGAAGAGCAGGACTATGGGTGGGTAACCAGAAGACAACGAATGAGGAAGAATGGAAGGAGACGAAGGAAATCACAGAGACAGAAATAAGGGCACAATGGAAAAAGGAAATAAAGAAACAGGAAAGGCTAACAGACCCTCGGAAAAGAAAGACCAGCCAGAAAACTTTTGAAGAAAACTGGCTGCTAAAAAAGAAAAGAGCTAAAATCAGGAAAGGATACTAAGCTTCAGCGATTGGGATACCAGCCACCAAGACTCAGACCAATAATCGGATAACTCAAGGGGTGAAGAGAGGGACATGGAGGGGGATGAATAAGAAATCAAGGAGGAAACAACAATAGACCCTAGGAAAACTACAAAAGAACGCACCCTCAAAGGAAAAAGGGAAGGATAAACCAGACAAGAAAAACCCAAACAGGGGAATGAGGCACTCCATTGATGCACTCAGGGCAGTAGGCAGCACAGACTCCCATCAAAAAGAGAGGAAACATCTAGCAGACTAAGGAGACTTGTTTTGGGATAAAAGAGGCAGGATAGAAAAGTGGACCATCCAAAGGAGAGAATAAAGACCAGAAGGGAGAGCGAGAGGGAGACTAGGGTTTAGGGTTTAACACTTTACCCTCCGCAAACATCGCTAGACAATGCACAGGACAACGAAATTCAAAAACCAAGCAATACCAGTAGACAAACACTAAAACCCATCAGCCCGTACCTAACAATGCCTCAGCAAATGGAACGGTTAGGAGGCTAGGCTCTTAGCAAGGCCCACCACCGCATAGGGACCAATCAGCAGTTCTAGCAAGCAAGATCAATCCGACAGTCAAAGTACTGAGAGGAATAGCTTGATAGGATCCCGAGCAAGCAAGACCCCATTCCCTAAACAAGGTCTAGGAAAGACCTGCAGATAGGAAGAAGAGCAAGGTAGCCCAGGCTAACTTAGGCTGGGGTAAGGAGCGGTATATCCTTCCTACGAGGAAGCAATCAATGCCGTCCTTTGGGCCTCAACACCATAAGGGGGAAGAGCGTGTGTGAGTACTCATTGCAACTCTTTCTGACTTGCCGGGGGAATAGGAACCGGACTGATGCTCCCCAGAATGGAAAAGGAGCCAGAACCCTGAGGTTCTGTTTTTTTTTTTTCCTTTTTTTTTAAAAATTCTGTTTGAACTGGTACAGTCTCCTGATCACATTTGTGCTCAATAGCTACTCCATTGTCTGTACATTGCACTTCACACGTGTACAATGTACGTACATTGTACTTTGCATGTGGACATTGCTATGTTCACATGGTCTGTACATTGAATTTGCTTGTGGACAATGTTATGTATGTGCAATGGTATGCACATTGAACTTGCTTGTGCGCAATGTTGTGTGTGTTGTACTTCACATATGAGGCTTGTATGTATGGTGTTGTTTGCGTCTATAGACTCTATAGGCACATTGTTACGAACATTGCACTTTCCATGTGTACATTGTATTCTTACTTTCCATACACACATTGTTATGTACGATGTACTTCACATGTGTACATTGCTATGTACATTTGTGCTTTGCAGGTGTACCAATTAGCCTATGCCCAAATATTGATAGTTGTGTGCATTCTCTTATTATGTCCATGTGGTGTTTGCAGAATGCAGGGAATCTCTTTTTTGAGAAAGGTGTAGACAACATCCATATGTTGAGTGGAGGTGAGGTGTAGCTACCCAACTAACCCCCCCTGCATGAACCACCTTGAACAAACTTGAAAACACAGTTCAAACAGAGCCTCCCTCAAACAAACTTGAAAACACAGCTCGAACAGAGCTTCCCTCAGCATCCAGCACCAACCCGGCTATCTCTGCCTGTTCCTGGCTTGGCACTCAGCATTAGCCCCCTGCACCCAGCGTCAACAGCTCCAGCACCACCTCAGAATCTACCCAGAAGTACCTGCGCGTGCCCTAGGATGAAGAAGGAACCTCCGGCTTGAAGAAGAACTGCTGCCAGATATGGCAGTTCCTTACCCCAACAGCACATATAGATAGTTGACTCCAGCCTGCAGGATGAAGCACCAGCGTCATTTGCTCTTCCGTAACCCTGGCAGTGGTTCCCAGCTAACACGGTGCTCCAGCAGCCTGGTGAGATCAATAAAAAACTTGTCTAAAACGAGAGCCAAAGACCTCGAACGCTGCAGTCGTACTCGAGCTATACTTCTACACTAACCTACGGGACTGGACTCTCCTAGGACCTAACAGTCTTAGAAGTTATGGGTCAGTGGTTTATCAGCAACAGCGGTACCTGTCTGAGGCAAAATCGTGTTGCCGTGAGTTCAGGCCTAAAACGAGTTGAGGGCTGAGTGGTACCCGGTTTTCAGTAGTTAAGTCGATTTGCAGAAAAGTCTCTGTCAGTTCAGCCTGAGTTCTAGACTTCTAGTTACCAGTATGACCCAGAACTTGGAAAATATACAGAAATGTCCTTGTGGTTAAGGGGATTTGCAGAAAAGTGCCTGTCAGTTCAGCCTGAGTTTTAATGTCCTTTTAGTTAAGGGAATTTGCAGAAAAGTCCCTGCCAGTTCAGGCTGAGTTGTAGTCACCGGTACAACCCAGAGCTTAGATTACAGGAATGTCCTAGTAGCTAAGGGGATTTGCAGAAAAGTCCCTGTCAGTTCAGCCAGAGTTCTAGTTACGAGTGCGACCCAGAACTTATAAAAATCACAGAAATGTCCTACGAAAAATTACAGAAATGACCTACTTCATCATACAGACCGCTGAGACACTGCAAGAACATTGCAACAGTTGTAAGGACGTGCCAAAACACAGACTGAGAACACAGCTGATTCCTGAGTTTTGCCGCTGGAATGCTTGCCTTGCCGAGATTCCTGCGTTTTGCTGAGTTTTCTAAGTCTGTGTGTGTACGTGTTTGCTGGTCTGCGTGCGTGTCAGCTTGTCGGCCTGAGTGTGTGTGTGGCCCGCCAGGGCACTTGTTTGTTTGGGAGGCCCGTAGGGCCGGTACTTACCTGTGGCCATGACTTTGGGGTTGCAGCGGGGAAAAACACTCAAGTGGCGGACGGGGTAGCTTAGGGAATACTCAAGTAGCGGTAAAGTAGGCCTGTAGGTACTTGACTAGCGGTAGGCCGAGCAGAAGACAAAAGGTTACTAATTTTAGAGGCCCAGTAGTGGTAGGCTAGGTCTAGGTGGGTACCAGTCCAAGTAGCCTGAGTCTAGAGCCTGTGCGGACAATATCAGAGTCTGCAATGATGTTTCCCTCCAAGAGGAGGAGGTGCCTGTGGCTTGGAGGCTGCAAGGTATTTTGAGTGCCTCGCGTTGAAGCAACTGGCCATGAGGCTGGTTTCCCGATATATCTCCAAGATGAGCGAGTTGCTCCTCCTCATTTGCTGTGTGCAAGTTTGGGCGTCACGCTGCTGGAGCGCCTGGTGGAGAGCGCTAGTGTGCAGTGCTGGGAGAGGAGCGCCCAGCCCGCGGCCTTCGACCGTGGTGGACGGGCTTGGGTAAGAGGAGRAGGAAGAAAGGGACTAGGAGAGGGGAGCGCCAGAGGTACTTACCTGGCTATGGTGGACGCCATCTTCAACCTCTTGGTAGGCGCTGCATCTGGAAGGCCCCAGTTGGGGTAGTGATGCATCAGAAGATTCGAGGCAGAGCAGGCATGGCTGCCTGAGCAGAGGAGGGCATAGCTGCTTTTGTGTTGTCTTTTGCACATCAAGGCAAGGCCATTAGTAGTCCGCCATAGCCTCGGCCTCGACGAAGTGTGCTAGTGGTAGAAGAGGAATTCAGACATTGATTCTGGTTTAGCCATTCATCGTTATTATTATTATTCATTGTCTGAATAAGAAGGGAGGAGATAAGGAGGAGGAGTTGGTTGGCGAAGAAGGGGGAATTGTCATTGATATTTTGCTGATGTACATCTTCTTCTTCTTTTGTCTTTCTTCTTCTTTTTCTTTACCGCTCTCTCCTCTCAAGTTCATTCATTTCTTTTTGCAATTGGAAGGCATTGTACTTTCTTTTTTAATGTGCACTTTGAAATTGGCCAGGATCGTCTGGTATCAGAGCGGATTCTATTTGCTGGCGAGAATCGACTTTGTTGCCCAACCCCAACTAAGCTGTTTAGGACAACCACTTAGTTTAGGGCTGGTCCATAGTGGGAAGTGGGGCAGCCTGGTATGAGGAAGCTGCCCCCACCTGGCTGGCCCTTGTAGGGTCGACATTTGACCGGGCCAGGTTGATTGAGTGTGAGACTGGGTGGCGAGACACTTCAAGAAACTTCGTGCGACAGTGAGAGGCACTAGCACCTGGAATCTGGACTTAATGAAGCCACTTAGCGACTTTAGGGCTTCCCTCCACGGACTTGAAGAAAACTTGCGGCAGGTACGGGGATCGAGGCTGGCGACCAGCGACGAAGGAGCAATAGAGCATCTTGAAGAAAACCGGGGGGTTGAGGGCCTGGCAAGGCTATCCCCCCTCAGTTTTGCTGACGATCCTGTCGGCGGGCTCGATCCACGGAACCCGGCGGTCCTCCCTCTCCCCCAGCCTTGCTTCCTTTCCACCTTTTAAATTATTTCATTTTCCTATCTTTATATTTTTGTTTCAATACTGCTCCTGGCACCAGCTCCGCGGCAGCAGAGAGAACCGTCGGGCATGGCGCAGTGGTACACCAACGAACTGATTGAAATTCAGACCTAAGCTCGAACTTCACTGAAAGAAGACCAGTGCAATACTGCAATTCTGAATTACCTGGGGCCGCCAGGTCAGCTGTGAGGCAGCGGCCCACAACTCAGTCCTTCGGGACATCCGTTAAAACTGAAACGGTACAGAGAAGATTATCGTGGCCTGGTGAGTTCCGGGGTGCTGGCGATATTCCTCTATCCTACCCGTCGTGAATCACGGGCAGAGGAAGTTCAACGTGGATGCGAGCTGGTGGGTGATTAGCCCACGAGGCGGAAGAAACCTGAGTGGCGGGAACCCTCTATGGGTGCACCGCCCGCAACCGCGATCTGCTGTGAGAGGTTTGAGTGTGAGCATGCCCATTGCGGCCCGAAAGATGGTGAACTATGCCTGGGCAGGGCGTAGCCAGAGGAAACTTTGGTGGAGGCATGCGGCGATACTGACGAGCGAATCGTTTGTCAAAGCTTGGGTAAAGGGGTGAAAGGCTACTCGAACCATCTCGTAGCTGTTTTCCCCCGAACGTTTCCTCTAGATAGTTGGAGCTGTCAAGCAGCCTTATTGCGTGGGCTATGAGGCCGTGCGCAATAGAAAGGAGCCGAACCTACACGTGGATACGTGCTAGGTGCATCGGAAGTTTGAAGACGGAGATGGCGAAGACGACGAGAGCAATCATGGTGGGAAGGAAAAGAGTGGTTCCCATTTCGGTTCAGGGGGGAAAACATTTTAAACCACCAGTACTTCAGGAGCGTAGGGGCTACTACAGGAGCGACCAAATTCTTCCGACTAGAAATGTTTCTACTCTTTTTTTTTCTGTGGTCAATAGCTGGGCCAAGCACTGGTGGTTTAAACCACCAGTACCTCGCTCAGCTATCAAGTCCGAGGCTCGGACTACCGGTAGCCCGATCATCCCCGAGCCTCGGACTTTATTGCCGAGCCTCGGACAACCGGTAGTACACAACCGAAAAAGAAAAAAAAGAAAAAAACAACAAAACGTACAACATTCTGCAAAAAAAAGAGAAAAAAATAAATAAAAGAAAATCAGACAAGCACAACGAGAATGAATCTTCCTGGATAACGAGGGAGATTCATTCTCGTGGGAGGTTGAGAGAGAGAGAGAGAGAGAGAGAGAGAGAGAGAGAGAGAG